AAAGTGTGGACCCCCCCCCCCCCCCCCCCCCCCGCCGTGTGCGAAAAGGCTCCGTCTTCCGATACCGGTACATGCGGCTTACCCTACAAATGTGAAGGTCGGGGGTCACTGCCATGGTGAACCTCCATGTAAAGTATTGGATCTACAGTGTTGAGGCCGGTGACGGGACGCCCGCTCTCTCCTCTCCCGTGTTTGTCGCACATTTTGTTTGGGACTAAAATATCAATAATTATAATAATGTTTATGGAGGTTTTGTCTGTATATTTAATTTGTAGAACTTTTAATTAAAATGATCAAAGTGGCTTCCGGTTTTTATTGATTTAGGAGTTTGGGAGGGGAGGGGGGAAAGGCTGACGTGATTTATGACAGATCTGTGTATAAGAAATCGGAGGGAACAATCTGATACATTGTAGCTGCGTGTACTCCCAACATTGATGTGTACACATGGCGGTGATGTATACTGATTAGCGATGCACCGATACTAGTATCGGTAACGGTGCAGATACCGAGTATTTGGGTGAGTACTCGCACTCGCCCCAAATGATCCGATACCTAGCACGAGTACTTCCTGCATCAGGAAGCCGAGCAGCGAATCATTACACGCTGCCCGGTTTCCTGATTGGCTAGGAAACGGCTCCATGCTCTGTCGTCACTTGTGACAAGAGAGCATGGAGCCGACTTCCCGGCCAATCAGGAAGCCGGGTAGCGTGCAGTGGCGCGCTGCCCGGCTTCCCGATTGGTCAGGAAGCTAGCAAATCCGGAAGCCGGGCGCCGTGTAATGACGCAGCGCCCGGCATTCTGATTGGCCGGGAAGCCGGCGTCATGCTCCCTCGTCATCTCATGAATCATAATATTAAGAAAGTGACCTAAAATCATTAGTTTGTATTGCTTTAGAAAAAAATGTGACCTGTCCCTTTAAGAAAAGGTATCGGTAATTGGTATCTGCGAATACTTGATCAAAAGTATCGGTACTCGGTCTTAAAAAAGTGGTATCGGTGCATCCCTAATACTGATATCGTCTCATTTAAAGTGAACGCGTACTGTGCGCCATTTTAACCTGATTCAGTTTCATTCATGAAGCCAGGTTCCAGGCCAATCAGAAAGCCGGCGCGCCGCGTCATTACACCGCACCTGGCTTCTGGAATGGCCAGTTTCCTGACCAATCAGGAAGCCGGGCAGAGTTCATGTCCTATACACTTTGTACAGAACGTGATGACTCGGGGACCTTAGATTGCTGCAGTAAAAGGGGAAAGAGGCTCCAGGGACCGGTCTAAGAGCAAGCTGTCTATGAGGATCGGGTGAGTATAACTTTCTTATCCTCAATAGACCAAAATGAGCAGTTAACCCTTATTGTGCAAAAGTAGCCGCACTGCCAAGGGTTAAAGGAGAACTATGAGGTCAGGGCTTTTCCCCATAGTGGAGTAGAAGGAAACCCACCAATTTAATGTCTCCCAAACCGTTACTTTCAAGGCGTGCCAACAGTCAAGGTTGTCAGTGCTCTTATGTCAGCTCTCAACCGAACTTTCAAGCCCTCCAATGGCTGATGCCATAGCCGATCACATGTCCAGCACCATGGCAACTGCAATGCAAATACAGGCTAAGATGGCGTCTTCCTTGGCTGTATAGAATAGATGGAGGTAGTTCTGCTTTCTGGTAACGATTTTGGGGTTTTACAAAGTATCATTTATTATCTATGGAGCCTTCAAGAAATACATAAACAAAACCTTTTATTTGTACCAGTTTTTATAATAATAAATACATTTTATTCAATAATTTGTCCCATTTCAAAAGACACTAAAATGATGTTTGTGGTACAAAGGACGGAAAAGGCCATTGCAGGTTTGAAAAAGGCGTTTAGTTGGAGTTTAGCCCATTTGTTTGTCACGCGTGAGAAAGAAAAACATAAATAAGGGTAAAAAAAATCTGCAGAGAATAGCGGAGGGGAGGAAAGAGTTAATTAGGGCTGATTGGGGTTTGCGAAGGTCCAATAAGGGGATAAATATGATTTGTTTTTCTTAATTTAACGTGTAAGGTCTCTTTAAATGTTGTCATATGCAGATCAAAGGTCACGCCTCATGAAACGATCAATACAATGTAACTACATCGTAACATTGTATTTACTCCACAACAACTTTGGCAGCCGGTAATAGTAGGAGGAGCAGGGGGATGGGAGCTGGATGCATGTTTATTGGGTGGTTGGAAGTCTCCAGTGATGATAATGGTGGGGGTCTCTAGTGTTGGGGTGATGATGGTGGGGGTCTCTAGTGATGATGATTATGACGGTGGCAGTCTCCAGTGATAATTATGGTGTTGGGTCTCCAGTGATGAGGATGATGGGGGTCTCTAGTGATGGGGTGATGATGGTGGGGGTCTCTAGTGATGGGGTGATGATGGTGGGGGTCTTCAGTGATAATGATGATGGTGGGGGTCTCTAGTGATGGGGTGATGATGGTGGGGGTCTCTAGTGATGGGGTGATGATGGTGGGGGTCTTCAGTGATAATGATGATGGTGGGGGTCTCTAGTGATGGGGTGATGATGGTGGTTGTCTCTAGTGATGGGGTGATGATGGTGGTTGTCTCTAGTGATGGGGTGATGATGGTGGTTGTCTCTAGTGATGGGGTGATGATGGTGGTTGTCTCTAGTGATGGGGTGATGATGGAGGGGGGTCTTCAGCGATGATGATTATTATGGATATTAGGTAATTATTTGGTTTGGGGGGTAATCTCGGTCAGGCACTCTAGGAAAAGAATTACGTCACCCCCTTTGTACCCCTCCTAGGCGCATGCTCAGACCGGGCCCCGCCCCTTGTCCCTGAAGGCCCCGCCCCAGCCCCGGACTTCCCAGCATGCAGTGCGGGGAGACCCGCTAAGCGGACAGAGATGAGCGGGGGTAACAGTGCGCCGCCCGGCCGGTTCGCCGATTATTTTGTAATCTGTGGACTGGACACCCGAACCGGCCTGGAGCCCGACCATCTCTCCGGTAAGTACCGGGGGAGGGGAGATAACGGTTCCGGAGAGCCGCCTGTGTGTCAGTGACCCCGGGATCCTCCCAGTGCGATGTGTATACAATGTATCTCCTCCCCGGACACAGCCCGATCCGCTACATCCACATCCTATGTATACATAGAGCCAACCTATACCGTGCGATGTACAGACCAGGGGGGTCTCATGTACTATGCATAGGGGCTGATGTGTGCGATGTATAATGTACAGACTGTCTATATACACAGCTATATATATAGTGTGATGTGTATACAGTGTGTATATGGGCTGATCTGTGTCATATATACTATATAGAGCCCATTGTATAAACTGTCCATATACTGTATACTCTCTCATATATCTACACACACACACTGCGTACATTCAGTATATATTGCTGTATACTCTGGTGACATGTATATACTGTGTAGAGCCAATACTGTATCATGTCTATATACTCTCTCATATATACAGTGCGTACATTCATTATATATTGCTGTATACCTGTGTACTATGTATGGACCCTCCGTGTCATTATACATGGTATACAGTGTGCGCTCTGTGCTGTATACAGGGTATATACTCACACTGTGTGCTGTATACCGTCTATTTTCTCATGATATGTAATCTGTACACTATTTTATTCTGTGTTCTTTGTTTCTTTTAATATTGTGTACTGTGCGCTCTGCTCTGTGTGTGCGCTGTGTACTGTGCGCTGTGTACTGTGCGCTGTGTACTGTGCGCTCTGCTCTGTGTGTGCGATGTGTACTGTGCGCTCTGCTCTGTGTGTGCGCTGTGTACTGTGCGCTCTGCTCTGTGTGTGCGCTGTGTACTGTGCGCTCTGCTCTGTGTGTGCGCTGTGTACTGTGCGCTCTGCTCTGTGTGTGCGCTGTGTACTGTGCGCTCTGCTCTGTGTGTGCGCTGTGTACTGTGCGCTCTGCTCTGTGTGTGGGATGTGTACTGTGCGCTCTGCTCTGTGTGTGGGATGTGTACTGTGCGCTCTGCTCTGTGTGTGCGCTGTGTACTGTGCGCTCTGCTCTGTGTGTGCGCTGTGTACTGTGCTCTCTGTGTGTGCGCGCTCTGTGTGTGCGCTCTGCTCTGTGTGTGCGCTGTGTACTGTGCGCTCTGCTCTGTGTGCGCTGTGTACTGTGCTCTGTGTGCGTGCGCGCTGTGTGTGTGCGCTCTGCGTGTGCGCTGTGTACTGTGCGCTCTGCGTGTGCGCTCTGCTCTGTGTGTGCGCTGTGTACTGTGCGCTCTGCTCTGTGTGTGCGATGTGTGTGTGCGATGTGTGTGTGCGATGTGTGTGTGCGATGTGTGTGTGCGCTCTGCTCTGTGTGTGCGATGTGTACTGTGCGCTCTGCTCTGTGTGTGCGCGCTGTGTACTGTGCGCCCTGTGTGTGTGCGCTCTGCTCTGTGTGTGCGATGTGTACTGTGCGCTCTCCTCACTGGGATTTCCTATCTGTATACAGAGCACGTGTAAAGTGTCCGGCCAAAACGCTTCTCATGGTGCTGGATGGAGCGGGGGAGGATTAGAACCCGTGTCAGGCTTTTACTCCCTCACTTCCTGTCTTGCTGAGAACATTTCACAAGACAGGAAGTGAGGGGAAATCTCCAACACGGACAGAAATAAACCCAATTGTTATTAGCAGAGTCGGGGGCGGCTGAAAACCTTTTCAGATTTGTATTGTCAGTCTCCGTCCTTGTTAGAGATTTTACTTCACTTCCTGTCTGGTGAAACCATTGTCAGCGAAACAGGAAGTGAGGGCAATGGAGCCCCAGATAGCAGTAAAAAGCTGACACCCTCCTGTAATAAAGTCCGGTCACTGCTGCTCTCTCTCCTTGTGCAGGGTGACTGGTCTCGTCTCCGCCCCCCTCCTGTAATACAGACCGCTCACTGCTGCTCTCTCTCCCTGTGCAGGGGGACTGGTCTCGTCTCCGCCCCCCTCCTGTAATACAGACCGCTCACTGCTGCTCTCTCTCCCTGTGCAGGGGGACTGGTCTCGTCTCCGCCCCCCTCCTGTAATACAGACCGCTCACTGCTGCTCTCTCTCCCTGTGCAGGGGGACTGGTCTCGTCTCCGCCCCCCTCCTGTAATACAGACCGCTCACTGCTGCTCTCTCTCCCTGTGCAGGGGGACTGGTCTCGTCTCCGCCCCCCTCCTGTAATACAGACCGCTCACTGCTGCTCTCTCTCCCTGTGCAGGGGGACTGGTCTCGTCTCCGCCCCCCTCCTGTAATACAGACCGCTCACTGCTGCTCTCTCTCCTTGTGCAGGGTCACTGTCTCTGGCTCCACCCCTTTCACCCATTGGATTTCAGTTTTCAATCTTCCTCTTTATTGATTCATTGGCCATGTTTCAGGTACTGGGGGAAGGATTTCTGCATTGCACACACAGTACTCTCCATCTCCTGCAATGATTAATAATAATGATCGGGAATATTTCGCGGCGCAGAGGGTGGCCGTACCCCTCCATTCTCGGCGGTGACACCATCTCTTTCCCCGTAGAGGAACAAGACGGAACAATGATGGATGACGGTTGCTACGGGTGACGGCGCTGTGCTACTACGTTTTACAAGCTGGGATCAGAACGTCATTAGATCAGTGCGCAGGCTCTTGCAGTGCCCCAACTCTGTACGGATCTTCTCTTATGCGGCCCTGCGAGCCGCCATTCCTCATTCATTGTCCCCGTACAGCCGGTGTGCAGGAAGGGACGTGATGTTCCCATAGCAGCCGGCGCTTGGTCTGTCTGCAGTCCGGTGTCCTCGGCTCACTGGCCGTGTCCCCGCTCCAGCTAATGGAGCAGCCGCTCTCCTCCGGGGGTCACACGCCGCATCATTCACTGACGACCGGAGCGCCCCTCAAAGAGGACCTTTTCACGGGGGGTATTGGTCATTGTTCATTTGCCCTGAGGCCCGTTTTAAAGAGAACCTGTCACCAAACCCATCATTCCATCAGCCATCTTCCCATAAGATTCATATCTGCAGTTACCATATTTTCTTCATGTTATTTCCCTTTTGAAAAGACATTTGAAAGCCCCCGAGACTGCGGCTGGGTGCCGCCATCTTGGATGTGGTGTCAGCAGCCCCAACAGGCAGACCTGTCAATCAAGTGACTTTGTAGTGTTTGGTAGCAAGCTCTGCCCTCCAATCGCAGCCATGTGATGAGTAGATTTTATCCCCGTCATAAGTGTCCACCAATGTAAGAGGGGATGTTACTGGGGCTCCCCACTGACCACCAGTGTAAGAGGGGATGTTACTGGGGCTCCCCACTGACCACCAGTGTAAGAGGAGATGTTACTGGGATTCTCCCCTGACCCCCGTGATGTTTGGTCTCTTCCATGTTTCCCCTCTCTGTGATTGATTGCCTTCCCCTGCTCTGCCCCGGAAGTATTCCCCTTTGCTTCTCCCACGGAAGCTGCATAAAAGGTCCTGTAGGGGGAAAGGGGAGGGATGGAGGAGCTGGGCCAGCACAGACCGTAATTGGACACTCCCAAAGGCGGAGAGCGCGGTTTGGGTCGGCTGTAGGCACCTGCCGAAACTTTACAAAGTGCAACAGAGTTGAAGTCTTCAACACGGTCCTCTTCCTTCTCTTCCCTTCCCCCGTACCCGGCCGACCAATCCCATCACTGCAAATGTGTGCGCAAAGCGTCCTGCTTCAACTCTCTGTGACTACAGACCGTTCTTCTTCTGAGACGCCGTCTGCTTCCTCCTCCGATGTGCGGGACCCCTCCAAATCCATCCACCCCGCCTGTTACATGGGATAATACCCCCCGATGGGAGGTAAGATGCAGCCTGTTCTTAGTGGGCCCCGGTGACACGTTGCTCCTCGGTGCCGGTGCTGTCTGGGGACGATGGCGGTGATGATGGCGGTGATGTCAGGGGACGATGGCGGTGATAATGACAGTGATGGCGGTGATGATGACAGTGATGGCGGTGCTGTCTGGGGACGATGGCGGTGATGATGATGGCGGTGATGATGACAGTGATGGCGGTGATAATGACAGTGATGACGGTGATAATGACAGTGATGGCGGTGATAATGACAGTGATGGCGGTGATAATGACAGTGATGGCGGTGATGATGGCGGTGATGATGACAGTGATGGCGGTGATGATGACAGTGATGTCGGGGGACGATGGCGGTGATGATGGCAGTGATGATGACAGTGATGGCGGTGATGATGTCGGGGGACGATGGCGGTGATGGTGACAGCGATGGTGGGGACGATGGCGGTGATGATGGCGGTGACAGTCGGCTCGGCGGATTGTCTCATTTCTATATTTAGAATTCTCGATGGGAACACCGGAGAGACGAATTGACAGCGACAAACATTCTCCATAAATTATGCACGGCGAGTACTCGGCTGAGGAACAGCGACACAGGGTCACCTCGCCGCCTGACCGCCACATCTCACCACTCAGGGCAACGCCGGTCACAGCAGATTCACACAACGTTCACCCAGAATGCGTAATGTTTTCCCAGCTGAATCTAGTTTGAGAACTGTGTGAATCTTGGGTGAAAGTTGTGTGAACACATTTATAAATAGAGTCATTGTCTTTGTGACAATGCGTATGGCTGCGTATGATGGAATGATGATTGCCGGCACCGGCTGTGTATGATGGAATGATGATTGCCGGCCCCGGCTGTGTATGATGGAATGATGATTGCCGGCCCCGGCATTGTATGATGGAATGATGATTGCCGGCCCCGGCTGTGTATGGTGGAATGATGATTGCCGGCCCCGGCTGTGTATGATGGAATGATGATTGCCGGCCCGGCATTGTATGGTGGAATGATGATTGCCGGCCCCGGCTGTGTATGATGGAATGATGATTGCCGGCCCCGGCTGTGTATGATGGAATGATGATTGCCGGCCCCGGCTGTGTATGACGGAATGATGATTGCCGGCCCCGGCATTGTATGATGGAATGATGATTGCCGGCCCGGCATTGTATGATGGAATGATGATTGCCGGCCCCGGCTGTGTAGATAGATCCTCTTCTGCATAGTCGGGGTGATACCGTTTTTTGACAATTGCAGTGCTGGCCCTTTAAGCACGGTGTGACGGAAGAGGCCGCAGATGAGCGGCGGTGATTTGGCGCTCGGGTTCGTCGCCGTCTTACACACACATACTGCTGAGCGGAGACCTTTCACTTCCTCATTGTGGCAGCCAGCGGAGCGCCCGGTGAGCAGACGTCGCAGAGGACTGCCGGGGCGGCCGCAGAGAACCATTTCCACGTTTGGCCCAAATTCTCTCTCTAAATTTCCAGAACTCCGACATGGAGGATTCCGTCTGCTGGACTTGGGAGAGATTTACCTTCACTTCCTGTCCCCAACACACAACAGGAAGTTGCTGTTACTCTTATAAAAATTTTAAAATTTGAGATTTCTGTCCCGGAAATGAAGGTGAAATAGAGACCAATAAATACCGGACGTTCCGAACCCTCCGCTCCCCATCCAAAACATGATGCCGGATGAGGATGCCGGCTCGTTGTGTAGTCCGCTGATCCTGGGGAGATTTCTCTGTTGCTAGGAATGGAGAACACGGCCGAGCTATATTTGGAGAGATGGTTGTCACCGGAGTCTTGCTCTTTAGCCATCTGGGGCCAAGAGGGGCCCCCGGGGAGCTGACGGCTGTGAGATGAAGAGTATTGCGTTACTTTCTTCTATATTTTACTTCGAAATGGGTGGCGAGAGGAGAACTCAGGGGCCACCTGCAGACCCAGGGGCCACTGACACAGCAAGAGCACCTGTCACCATACACAACACGGCTATCACAGGGGCCACTGACACAGCAAGAGCACCAGTCACCATACACAACACAGCTATCACAGGGGCCACCTGCAGAGCAAGTGGCCACTGACAGAGCAAGAGTACCTATCCACCATACACAACACGGCTATCACAGGGGCCACTGACACAGCAAGAGCACCTGTCACCATACACAACATGGCTATCACAGGGGCCACTGACAGAGCAAGAGTACCCATCCACCATACACAACTCGGCTATCACAGGGGCCACCTGCAGAGCAAGTGGCCACTGACACAGCAAGAGTACCTGTCACCATATGCAACACAGCTATCACAGGGGCCACCTGCAGACCCAGGGGCCACTGACACAGCAAGAGTACCTGTCATCATACATAAATGTTCATAGATCGTATGATCAGGTTCTAACCTGTGTGGCCGGCTTTTGGCTCCGGCACCCCCCTTCCCCCATTGGTCAGACATACACCTTCACCGACATGCATGTTTATACAATGTTGTTCTACATCTTAAAGTTGCATGCGTGGCCGTCCATCGCCTAGTGTCTATAGGCGGCACTCGGTCATGTGATCTGGAGTTGTAACATTGTTGCGTGCTGCCGATCCGTCACATTGTATCTCTGTCATTCATTGGAGGACACGGCTCTGCTTTGGGTCATCACCTACTGGTTATATCGTCACCCGCAGGAGTAGGACACAGGATACAACTAAGACATCCCAGGGGGGCGGCCCCTGCAGGTGACCCCGCCCCCTATGGTTATTGGCCCAGTGTCTAGGAGTTAGGACATAGAACTTCCCCCCCGGATATATCGGTTCCTTTGTTTTACTTCCAGCGAGTCGTAGCCGGGTGACTGGACGGACAACGCAGATCCCGGTAGTTTCCTCCATCGCGTGTACGCATTTCCTTGACGCGCGC